GCCCCAGGCTGCAGGGGAAGGCGGCGGGCTGGGATGGATCAGACTTGCAGGGCTGCGGTCCTGTGCGCGCCTGTGTTGTCCCCGCTGGGTTTCGGTGCTCTGCCCTTCCCTTCACCTCCTGGCCAGGACAGAGTGTTGGGGAGCCCCCCTAAAAAGCCGAGGAATCGCCGCGCTGCTCATGCTAGTTGCTGCCTTACGGCCGTACCTTCATTTTGAAGCCTTGGCGTTAGCTCCCTAGCTGCTGTCGGCAGGGGCCAGGTGACAGCTTGATTGAGGTCTCGCTGCCACTCGCAGCAGATGTCGAAGCAGCCAGGCAATGGGGAGGACCTGGAGCGGCCCCTCTGCGCGCGCTAAGCCGGGTCCCACAAAGTCGGTCGTTGGGGTAGGACTGTGGGCCGGTGCCTGGCCTTTGTCACCGTAGTAACTGCTAGCATCACAGTTGTCCTCAGAACACTGCTGCGGAGCGAGGAGCGGGAGCAGATGGAAGGCAGGCGAGTAGCTGAAGGTCACATAGGAGCTTTGTGCGAAAGCCAAGAGTTGAACCACAAAGCAGTTTATCCTCCCCTGGTCGTGTTTTGTTCTTTCCACAGATCCCCAAAGACCCGCTACAGAGACGGGTCCGGAAACTCGCCATGCTGAGCAAGCAGCTGCAGCAAGTCCACCCCAATGTGCTGGCCAAAGTGCTCAGACAGGGAGTCGTGTACCAGAATGACGAGATTGTGGTGATCAACAAACCCTATGGCCTTCCTGTGCACGGTGAGGGAAAGCAGATCACGCCGCACGGTGACAGTGCTAAGGCTACGGCACGTTGTCTCTTTTATCGTCTTTCTCATAGCGAAACCTCTGCTGATCTTCCTTCTCTCAGGCATCAAACTGTTGGGGATCCCATAGCTTTAAGTATTGATCAAAATTAGCTGCAAATGTAGTAGATGCTACTGCTGAAGTACTAGATGTTGATTTAGAGTTTATGAGCCAGTGGAGACTGTAGTGATCTCACATGGTCTGCACAGCGCAAGCTGTTGCTTTGATTTTAGCATGTAACGAGCTGAAAAGGGACCTGGGTCTTGGGGGATCTCCTGTCTGTCTGTAGAGGGGAAATTGGAAACGGACTGAGGGTGCTGGTAGGGTATCGTCTATCTCTCTCCTCATTATAATAAGATTTTTCCTTCCTACTTTGAGCTCCAAGGAGTGTTTTGGGGTGTTTGTCATCTTTGCGTTCCTTCTCATACTGAGGAGTCTTGAACAATCTGTCTTGTAGGTGGAAAAGGTAGTGCAGTCCCTTATAGCAATCGCTGTTGAAAAAGATGGTGTAGGAATCCTACCTTGTCCTGCAGTCCCATCCTCTCGCGTTATGGGCGGGTAATTTAAGTGCGTTAAGGTACGCAGAGAGGTGAATATCTGCTCTAATTGCCTTGCTGCTTGTGGCTTATGCAGGTGGCCCCGGGATCAAGAATTGTATCACTGACGTGCTGCCAATTTTGGCCAAGATGCTGGAGAACGTGAGGGCCGAGCCTCTGCACCTCTGTCACCGGCTGGACAAAGAGACCACAGGTGTGATGATACTGGCGCGGAGCAAGGAGGCAGCGGACGAGATCCGGCTCCTCTTCAAAACTCGCCAGGTGGAGAAGATATACTGGTAGGAAAGGTTTTGTGGGAAAAGGGTCTCTGAAGGGCTTGTAGGTTCGAGAAGGGGTGAGGGGACAGTCAACACAGGTGCAGGGTAGCAGGGCTTTGTGCTAGCGGTGGGAATTTGCTTATCTTTGCTTTGCTTCTCCTGTCATGGGGCTGGGTTATGGGGGATGGAGAGGAATAACCGGAGCGTTCTCTTTGCTCTGGGTGTGCCAAGGCCTGGTGCCCTGCAGACCTCGAGTTTCTCTCCCCAGGGCAATCAGCTTGGGGGACCCAGACCCTGCTGAGGGGCTCGTGGAAATCCCCATTGTGGAGAAGGAGGTGCAGAGCCACCAGCCGCACTACAAGGTGAGCGATCGTCCCCTTGGCTGCGGGTTGGGGCTCTCCCTCCCCCAGCTCCCCGCTTCTCCTGCCTGCTTGTGAGCTCACCCTCTCGCTCCGGTCCAGATGACGCTGGCCCCGAACTACTGCCTGGCTCCCGAGGATGGGAAGGTGGTGAAAATCCGCAAGAACCGCAGTGCCGAAAGCGCCGTGACACGGTACCGTGTCCTGGCTAGCTCTTCTGCCTGCTCTCTCTTGGAGCTGCAGCCCATTACAGGTAAGTCGTGGCGTCCATGCTGACGCTCAGGGTGCTGCTTGATCAGCCCTGGCTGTGCTTTCTGTGCAGCTCTGCAGCTGCGGGGTGCTCAGAGCAGCCCTGGAAGCAAAGACATGACTTAAATCCTTTTAGGCCAGAGCGAGGCTCGCTCTGGGCATGAGCTTCCTCTGGGCGATGGTTTGCTGCCGCTCTTTGGCTGTCAGTGATCTCGGCACGGGGTTATCCAGATTCCTTCTGTGAGGGTTGTGTTGGCATGTGTTGGGTGGGCAGCAAGCACGGAGCTG